GACAGGGCTTTCTTCCACTTCATCAGTCTCAGGTGGAACATGTGTGTCTTCCCAAACAGATCAATAGATGCAGACAACATTTTGACTATTTAAAAATGTTTTTCCTATGATTTTTAAATTATTATTTTAAAATAATGATTTTTTTAAAGTTATAAAACTATTTTTTTAAAGAAATTTCTATTTGAGTTTCCCATGATTTTGATAGTTCATTACCAAGATTATGACCTTGTTAGAGGTAATAGCATCTGGTCAGGGTTGAAAAGTGTGAAGCTTATGATAGAAATTTAAAAATAAATTGCCCTTTATTCCTGGCAAGAAATCTCACTTTGCAAAGTGCATTAAGTTTAATTTCTTCAGTATGTTAAAAATTAGATACGGTTGACTTAATAGCAGAAGAAAAGCCAGAATTGCAGTTCATGGTACCTTTATCTGTCCTGGGCTTCTAGAGAGAGAAACCAGCTGGCTTTACTAGTCTCTGCGGTCAGAGAGGCAACTGCTATTTTTTCCTTTTGCTCCTTATTCCTGTTAAGGGAAAAGTAGACCTCTGTGTGAGATGGAAATTCACTTCAAGTTCCAGTTGTAAGAATTGTTTTCTAGGTATGGAATTTCCTTTAGTTTTAATGTGGCTGTCTGTGTTTTCTTTTTGTAATTTAGATCAAATGAGAAGTACTTAGATGTCAGAAAATGGGAAAGTGTGTTTCTTCACAGCAGTTTTTAATGGCACAGTTTATTGGGTGTTTACCATGAGTAAGACACTGTGCAAGTTATTCTGTAAACCTTATTTTATAGATGTCTTTTAATCTTCAAAAATGACCATATGAGATAAAATGATGCTTAGGCATACTGAGTTACCTGCCTACGTTTCTATAGGTAGTGAGGGTCGCAGCTGTGATTGTTCTTTGGACTTGTCACGTCTTCTCCGCAACACCCACATGCTTTTCCCTATAATCACTGTCATTCTCATGGGAGCAGTGGCATGCAATCCAGCGTAGGTTAACGGCCTAAGAAGCTAAATTGGACCCACATTTAATAGTTATTGCTCTCTCCTGATAAATTACTTTAAAATAACAAAGATTGTCTTGATTATGGTAGTGGTGTATTATTTTTTTAGCACTGTCATTTAAATTTTTGAGAAATTCACAAACGAGCCTTGGTACCCTCTGATAATTTTACATTAGCCTGGACTTCTTCCCTACTAGTAGATACCCAAGTTATCTTTAGAAGAAGGTGGAATATAGAGGTCAAAAGAAAGATAGCAGGAACAACCTACTGGTCTCAATTAAGAAGAGAAATGTGGGATATTTTTTTTTCTACTCTATTCTCCTGGAGGCTCATAATTTCATAGAATCACTTAATAATGTCTAATTTGAAAGTGACCTAAAAGATTGTTTAGTCTAATCTCCTCACTCTTTGGAAAAGGAATCTAAAAACCAAAGAGCTTTAAAGAGGTCACACACAGTCAGTTGTTGAGCCTGAGTTTCTTTCGGCCATGTCCAATGTTTTTGTTTGGGAGTTTTGTAATTCTTGGTGCCATGTACTGGCTTCTTAGAAGAGGATTGTTATACAGAATGCAAGTTTATAAGGAATGTCAATCATCATTTACATTTTGCTAGAGCCTTTGTCCTTTATTTTCTTTTAAGTATCTGGCTAGCACATACTATTTGAAGTATATCCTAAAGGACAAATGCATGCTTTTGATAAATATATAATAGATTCTTCTGTATGGTCTGTGGCCTAGAAAAATATACAGCAGTCTTTGAATGGCTTCTTTAAAATGCCTCAGTGTTTCCATGGGTTTGCCGCTTTTGGAGATAGGATCTCAATGTTTTGCATACAAGATCCTTAAAGGCCCTGCGTCGTCCTATTTTCCACCTTTATTTTCACTTGTACACAATATGGTCATTCTTCGTTATCTTATTCATTGTGTATCTATTTTAATGCCAGCTGTTTGCTATAAGGGCATTGTATCTATCCTTTATTGTCTGTATGTCATAAATAAGACACGTACATTCTAAGGGTTCAGGCAGGGTAGCTTTGAATAGGGCATAACATTGTTTGAATCCTTCCCACCTTTATCAAGTTATAGAAGATTTCAGTACTTAGTGAGAGTGTCCCTGTCCCGAGCAGTGTGCCAGATTCTCATAATAGAAGGGACAAGTTAGTAACAGACCCCATTCCCAGGGAATTCCCATTCCTCGTGTGAAGATAGGGACTCTGAAATTCTTCAAGAGATAATTTCTGATTTAAACTGACCTAAACCATAGGCTGACAAACATAATCCTCTGCCTCTTTTCGATAGCCCATGAACAAAAAAATGCTTTTTACATTTTTAAAGGTATCTGGAAACCTTTTGGCAAACAAAACAAAATAAATAAAAACAAGGTTTTGCCATAGACTGTATGGCAGTAAAACCTGAAATATATAGCACGTGGCCCTTCTTAGAAAATGTTTGCCAACCCTTGGCTAATCAAGCACAAATACCGTGGTTTCTTTAGCTAGGGCAAAGAAGACAATCTTAGCAGTGCTAATATAATAATAATTATTTTTATATAATTATAATAATAATCTATTACATGCTAATATAATTAATAATAATAGAAATTTCGTTTCTGCTTCTGTATTTTTTCCCAAACCAACAAAGAATCAGTTGCATTTCTTTACTTCTGCAAAATAGGGGAGATAGGAGTCTAGCAATATTCTTTCTAGGCCTTGATGTGGCCGTTTTCTTAGAATTCTTAATATGCCTGGAGATTGTCAGATCTGGCAATGATTTTCCTGACTCTCTGTTGCCTGTGGAGGGGGGCGCAGGTCCCTTAGTGGCCTGAGGACCCTGCACTCCTCGCTGTGACAGCCTTTCTCCTTCACCTCCTGGACACTCATTCGTGTCTTCTCCCCCTTGCCCAGCTTTGCTGAGTTAGTGTGTGTCTACTCTTCAGCCTTCAGCTCACTTTGGTCGCTCTTTCCTCTTTATTGGCACAGAGCTTTGTAGTCCTCTCTGAGCCCTATCACCACTATATTTGTTGCTGGTTCACATCTCCTGTCTTCCACAAGGCTGTGAGCTTGTTGATTTTTATGTCCTAAAGCAGCCAGCTCAGTACCTGGCATGGTATAGAAAACATAAAAGTCTGTTGAGTAACTGATCATGCTTTCTGATACCTACCCAGAGGCC